CTCAATGATGCAGAGGTATTTGGGGCATCCAATGGTTGCTGGTACCTGAAGCTGAAACGGTTCCCCTCAACCGAAAAATAACCAGTCATCGTTTCTGTACTGTGATTACTTGTTGGCTCTGACATATTCTCAGAGGAATTGACTTGTAATGCTTGTGATTCTGGAAATTGCTCTAGCCCATCACTTACAATCTTTGCCTCCATCCTTAGGAGTCTTCAAGAAAAGATGAGAACTTGTCTATTGTGAAAAGAAACAGTTATGCAACAGCCAATGTCATTTGGCTTCAAAAGTACTTTACAAAAAAGGTTTTCAAAAACCATTTACTTATGGTTTCATTTCAAAACATTTCAAAAATTGGAATAAGCAAAACCTTGCTTATATTAAAGCTGCACTGTACTAATGTAATTATTTTCTTAGCTCTTCCACATTATCTTCTTTAAAGACAACACCATATTCTTTTGCACAATCCTCCAATGTGCAATTTCTTTTTTGAAAGGTCTTGGTCCTAATCTGAAAATCAAGAAAAAAGGAACAGGTAAAAGAAAGACAACAGAGAAGAAAAATAAGAATAATTAAAAGGGAGACAACTATTTTATTAAATCTTTTCTAAAGAACTAGAAAAAATCTGTAGGTTGAAGTTTATTCAGAGATATCATAAAGATCATAATGGATTAAGCATTAAATAAATGCTCTCCCAGATCAATATTTGCTTCAGTATAACTTTCGTCAGTCAACATATATAATCATATAAAAAGAAGAACAAAGATATGAGAAAAATAAGAAGGGAAATTTATACATAAATGCATTTTACCATAGAGACAACTAATCTAAACCAGATTATTATCATTATTATTATTATCATCGTTATTATTATTATTTTTAAGAAATGATGAACTGTGGATGGCAACATTAGTACAAAATCATCCTAATTATAAAGTCCTAGCATGAATACAACATGGTGGTTCAATTTTGAGAATTTTAAAAGTATATGAATTTAGTACATTGAATTCGAGAAGTTACGGAAGTCGTTGAATTTTTCCCATGCTTCACACGAGGGGGGTACGTGAACGCATGTACTTAAAGTTAAAAAGATTTATCATTCTCATTTAGTAGGCCTACATTGACTTTCATATCTAATAAAATATATTAGTTATCCCTCTTAAATCATTTTCTTTGATAATTGTCAATATTAACAGATTGCAAAGGAGAACAAGTGTAGACTTAGTGATTAGCCATTTGCATCCATTATCTTTACTAAGTGCATAAAATCATGCAGAAGCCTAGGTGTAGTGGGATATTTGCGAATTTATGGTACCAAAGATCTACGGTAACATCTAAACATATTAATTTTCATCGGGAACGCACAAAACAAATGCGATAGCTTTTTGAACTCTAAATGAAGAGTGCGCATACAAACGAGCTCAAAATTCCATATAGTTTTTATTTCAGAGCAGGTATTACTGAGTACTATCATCTTCAATGTGAAATAATCTGTATCGCATTTACATGTCCGAAGTTAAAAAATCTGACATTTGGGTAACATTTGTATTGAATTGGTCTTTATAACGGTAACTACCAATCTCAAATAAAATCAAATTTACCCCTGCTGTGATGTACCGACAGTTGAGCGAAATGTAACGGAAATATTTCAATCCTTACTTATATGGCTATTATCAAACATTAGTGCTTCGTATGTGATATACATGCAGATTACCTCATAAACTAAAACATATTACCAAGAAGTCTTGATCGATACATATTTTGTGTGTAAAAGGACACAAAACTTACATCTTTCAAAAATATATTTTACAAAATATTTCGTCGTAAACCACGGTGATTAAATTTTTTCCTGATATTGGTATAAAAGTCTTCCTTTAACATTTACAAACTCATATCTATGCGCAATATCATAATCAAATGCCGTATGCACGACTGCAGCAAGCAGAAGTCCACATAGGTGTACCTCTCCAGGTGTTCAGCGAGTCTCGCGTCGGCTGCAAGACAACGATCCAGAACAGGCGCTTAATACTTGTTTGGTAGTTTCCTCATCCATGTACCTATACTATACGCAAGCTAACTCAATTTGACCCCCCCCCCCCCCATTTGGGACGGTCCCCTTGCTGTTTCACTTGTTCAACCATTTATTCTTTTCTTTTCTCTGTCTGGCCCCAAACCTTGCCATCATTAGTGTCCTTGTCCATCGGTGGAGCATCAAAATTTTCTAGGGGGTCTCCCTTAGAAGAGCAAACTTTATCTGCTACACCTCAGTCTTGTATCCTGTCACTCTCCATTAAACAAATCTAATCCAGAAGATTCATTTAATCACAGAAAAAAACATTTAATTCTACATCTGATGCAAAGTCAGCATCAGCCAATCACATCCTGGAAAGTCATCAAGGCTCCACGGGTCTTTCTTAGATTCCCATTTGCTTGCATATCCATAAGCACTTCAAGGGCACCCTGCATCAAAATTACTTTTAGAGAAAATTAACCCAGCAGACCTGGATGACGTTGCAGTCATGTCCTGGAAAAACTTGAGTTGAGGGATGGGTGACATGAACATGCTATCATCGGGCAAATTGGCCACGACCCGGGAGACGCAAACTTGCTGTCATGAGCGAAGGCCAGGGTGACAAAAGATTCGCGTCAAGTGCATAAACCTCTTGGAGTGTGATTTGACTCATTTGGTGCTTAGAAGGGGGCTTTAACATTACTCCCATCAATAAACGAATGTGGAAAGTTATGTGTGTAAGCAATGACTGGAAGAGCGTTTGCTCTAGGGAGGACGCCAATTTCATGCTTCTCACTGTATTCCTAGATGCTGTGATTGGCGGCGCAGTTATTTACTACACAGAGAGATGATATGGAGTCTGTGCAAGGAAAATAAGCTATCATCATCTATATATAGCAAATGAAAAGACAAATATGGACACTGGAAAATGGCGATAATGCTAAAAATGTTTACACAAAATAACTTCGCAAAAGGGAAGCACTGCTCATGGGTGTTTGTGTGCGTCCAGCCTACATGCCACACACCTGGGATGTTGGCTTCATACATAACCCATTGCCCGTGTTTTTGGCACCATGATTTCCATGACGCAACTGGATCCAATGGGTTAATCTGTTGATGGGAATTATCTGATTATAATAATAATAATAATAATAATAATAACAATAATAATAAAAAGGCCACTTACTTTCTGACAATCCTCACTTGGTCAGAGTAGCACACTGAGATTAACCTGCACATTGGTTGCACATACAAGATTACTGAGGCTTAAAATCATCCAAAGCTTAACCCCTTGGATCTGGTTGCAAAGCTTATATAAGTGGCCAGCAATCCGGGTGTGTGATACGTAGGCTGGGTGCGCACGAACACCCATGAGCTGTGACAAGATTCTGTGCCTCCCCCTTGGAAAGTTATTTTGTGAAAACTTTCTTAGCTTTATCGCCATTTTCCAATGTCCATATTTGTCTTATGATTTGCTTTATCCAGATGATAATGACTTATTTTCCTTGCACAGACTCCATATCATCTCTCTATGTATTCAATAGCTAAGTGCAAGAAAAAAATATATGAAACATTTGGTTATTTGTGTCCTTTATCTCATTTTCTCATAATTTTCAATTTTACGTAATACAGCCCGCGCAGCCAGTCAGAGCAGCCAGGAATACAGTGAGCACCATGGAAACGGTGTCCTCCCTGGAGCTGGCACTCTTCCAGTCACTGCTTACGCACGTTATATTCTACATTTGTTTATTGATGGGAATAATGCTAAAGCCCCCTTCTAAGCGCCAAATGAGTCAAATCACACTCCAAGAGGTTTGTGCACTCGTAGCGAGTCTTTTCCATCACCCTGGCCTTCGCTCTTGACGCTTTATTCCCGTCATCTGTAGAGCTGTCCAAGTTTTTCTTTGACATGATCGCAACATCATCTGGATCCAGGGGGTTAAGAGAGTTTGTGGCAATACTGAAATTTCAGAAGAAATATTATATAAATAAATAGAGAAGGAGAATTACAATTTCAGAAATCCATGTAACAGAAGGTAAGCATTACCTAAAATTCCAAGAATGCTCACTGGCATATCTGTAAACAAATGATGAAAGTGATTTACTTTGTAAAATAAAGGCTATATTCCTGCACCAGTAATTATAGTACCAGTATAGTTTACAATATGTTATAAAAAAAGAGGGACTATGTTTACAAGAGTTACATAAAACAAAACAAAAAGCCGCAAATGAGAGAGAGAAACTCGAAATTACTGACATAAATCTATGAATCTATGCCTCCAAGCTTCACACATGAACAAAAGCCACAAAACCACATACATTCTGAAAACACAATGCTAATAGATCTTGTCACTTCTTTTGGTTTAGTTTAGTTGCTCTTTGTCAAAGTGCAAAGTAGTAGCAAGCCAGTGTTCTAGCAATGGTAAAAAAATCCTCCACCTTGTAAAGTTTTACAAGTTTGGCAAGACATTTTTTGCTATTTAACTATATAAAAAAAAAAAGTCCAAGCCTTATGTTTTTATATTATACATACATGAATTATGCTGAAGTGTGAGGTATAGTGGCTGTCGAGATCACTTGATATTGTGCCACTATTCCTCATATGTAAGGCAGTAGTTTGATGATATGGAAAACACAGTCTGGAAGCCCTTGGCATCTGGTTGTAAATGCTTAAGAGGCTGAAGTTGCAATCTATGCACAATTTTTTCTTGCAAGGTTATGGGCAAACACTACATGTCAGGGGGGATCACACCATAAAAAAATCCATGTAACTGTAAAGCACAAGAGTAAACTAATGAAAATAGTATAAACATATATATCTAATAAGAATTCTTAACACACTGTTTTAAGAGCACTGTACATTAATATTGCATATTTACAAATAAAAACATAATGATGCATATATCAATGTTATTGATGTCTCTGAAATTGGGGGGAAAAAATAACAATTGTATTTTCTAGCTTCTATATTCCCTTTAATCTAACACACATCATAGGACATGGCATAGCAATGCAGGATTGGCCAAGGAGATCGACCACATCCTCCTTAGCACTCACTGGAGGATCCTCCAGAAGTACAGAGTATATGGAGTTCTGAGTTCTGTGGTCCTGATCATAGATTAGTTGTGGTTACCCTCAAAAGTAACTTCAAAACTACCTGTCGATTCAATGCAATTTATACCCATAATATTGATTTATATTCTAATGTATTGGCTTTTTTTCAGTTTTCAACTATGCCTTATCACAGCTGCTGCTGTGATGTGTACCCTGATATCAGCGGTGATGACCTACATGACCCTGACTTTCTGCCAGAACCTTCATCCAAGGGTATCCTCTTAAGGTCTGAAGTAGAGGCCTTAGAAACTTCAGAGGAGGGGGGGGATGGTGACAAATGAATAAAAAATGCAGCTCCAATAAGACTCAGGCCAAGAAGACCCAGGCCATGAGGTGGCAGGGAACCAACATCCAGTACCCAGCCCTGCCAGAGTATGAGTACATCCCTCCTAGGCTGATGTTGCCTTCTGACGATTACGTTTTTCAGGATTTTCACTTCGTGGATGGTGGAACATGCCATCCTTCAAATTTCAAACAAGCCTCCATGTCAAACAGAAAGATGTGAAGACAAACTTCCAGACCACAAAGACAAATTTCTGATCCTCACTGATATCCTTTTGTAAGGAAGCACCACCTCAGAATACCATGACTTCTGCTAAGGCAAAAGCTCAGCATTGTCCTGTTGAATGTCTCCAGTGGGGTCTGCACGGCGAGCTTGTGACTAAACAGCAAATGGAGGAAACAGCCAACTAGCATAGCCCAGTCATGTGTACCCCCCATAAAAGGCTGGAAAAAACAAATACTTTTTCAGTTTATCATGAAAATTGTACTGTAATATGCATAATTTTTACTGCTATATAAACCGGGGGAGGGGGGGGGGGATAAGTTGAAGACACCAATGCGCGTAGAGCGGAAGAAATGGAGTGGATAGAACATAGCTTAAGCTGCAGCAGCCTTATTGTCACTGCTAAATGACGAAAATATAATGTGCGGGCACCACTCACATACGAAGTCCAGCTACTTCTTTTCTTTACCTTACCAGGAATAACAAAGCACTAAACGATGAACTTATTACTGCGATGTCCAAACTAGTTTGTGTGTTACTACACACTTGTCAAAACGATATTTCGCTAATTATCAGAGTCTGCTGTTACACATTTATGTTTTTGAAGTCTTTTATTAATGTTACTATACTTCATTTGTGTATTTTAATACTTATTTATACCCTAGTTTAGAATCAAGCGCATCTAGTGTTTCACACTTTCTTTTGTCAGACACAGGTCGACACCTCACCAGCCCGCTCATTTTGAGATAGAACGATGGTGAGAAATATAGCTTTTCGTGTTGTGTTGATTTTGGCTTGAAATGAAAGCAATCCAGACGGTACAAAGAAGGAACGAAAGTTGGTTTATCATTTTACTGTGTGAACGCAGCTCTATCTTGCTGTACATACCAAGGTGAAGAGAATGGCCAAAGGACATGCCTAGTCACGGCATCTAAAATTGATATATATGGCTGCTTTACTGATCAACACGTTTTTTGGGGGTTTGGAACGTATGAATTCCTGTAGAGTTTTGCCGAAAGGTGGGTTAGGTTCCCATAGAGTTTTTGAATTCTGGTGCGTTGGCCCGTAAAATTTCAAAGTTGGTGATGACATCCGTAGAGTTTAATTGAATGATTTTAAGCATTTTTTATGCTAGTTTTATGCATTTTTTAAATTCCTATTCTTCCTATTTAAGCTTTTACCCCATAATTTCCCTAAGATATTTCATGCCCTCCCCTGCTAACAGGACAAACTAATCAAGATTGTTGATGGAGAAATGGTACTTGATCTCCTGAACGATTCATTCACACAAAAACAATGCCGAGAAACGATAAAATCATTGGATTTCCTGCAGATTATTATTATCATTTTTTTTTTTTACTTAGTCTCTGGGAGGGTATGTAACTCTCTGTAACAAATACGAAATGTTTATATAACGATAACCAGATTAACCCCAAGATGCCGGGCATGGCAAGTACATACATGCCATTGCCCAATATGTGTCTAATTTAGTAATTGCTTATACAAATAGATGGCTCCATAAGTCCTAAGTCACCAATGACCTGATTACGCGAACTCTGTCTTACCTATTTAGAATTTTCCTTGATTTTTTATAAAATTTACGGATATTTAATACTGCTGTTAGTAATATCAGTCAAAATATAGTAATTATATGTTTATAACAAAAATAACAGTGTCAATATTGATAGAAATAGTAAATAAAAAAAGAAGAGTGTTTTCCGCTTTTTCAGGGAAAAGTGAAGTCGCAAGATATACTAATTGACTCCTTTGTGGCTAAGCATTGGCAGCGATATCTTGGTGAAGAAACATTTATACGAAGCATTGCCAAAGGGAACGCACCATTTTCCCGTCGACATTGGGTTAAGTATAA